CGTGTGGCTGGAGACCTGAGCTGGAAGATCTATCAGCCTTACATTATGCATGCTCATTGATGTTGGCATTATGTTCATTTTAATGTGTCATATAAATTCATATTTCAAAAGTATCACACTGCTCGCTATTAGATTCCTAATACTCAATAAAATAAATGTAATGCTCAGTAAAAGTTCATTAATGCTCAGTTGACAAAAACCATGATTTGCATCTCAATAGAAGATGTTTGATGCTCAATGAAAATGTTGTAACTTTCAACTAACAAACCTTACGATTTTCACAGTAATGCGCATTTTGTAAGTTACATATGCTCATTTGCTACTGATGTTATTCTCATTTGTAAAATGGCATATCAATGCATATTTCAAAAGTATCATATCACATTAAATTCGCATATTAAAATTCATAGGTATTGTTTATACACATAATTTAATAAGTTTTATAAAAGAAAAAAAAGTTAAATAGAAGATATGAAGCTGAGATCGTGATACTAATTGTTAGCCTCCTAATACTCAATAAAATATGTCAGATGATCTCTAAAAGTAACTATTGCTAATTTACCGGAAGTTGTGCCTTTTCGCTTAAATTACAAAAATGGCACCAAATTTTTTGACCTCTATTAGTTATTGGGCTTTGGGCTGTCTTCCTTAGTTGGGCCGAGTATACATACACCGAGATGTATGATATAGGCATTGCGGCTAACCGGACTCTGACATGCTAGATTACAAATTTGACCTCTTTTTGTATAGTTGGTGAGTTTAATTGATTGTTTTTTTAATTCGAGTTTTTTCGAATTAATGTTAATTAAATAATTAATTACGAAAATAATGATGGAAAAAATGTATTTACCGATCTACTGTTGGGTTTAACCATGGTCAGAGAAAGTCGCCTAACCGTTGGGCGACTTTCCCTTCCATATGAACGCAGACCAGCAGCTACTGCCAGCCATGCACGATCGTGCCTGCAAGGGGCACGATCGTGCCTAATTTCGAAAACAGAATTTCATCATTTTTTTGCCCCAGTTCAACCCAAAGTCATCTGTTTGCTATAAATAAGGTCTCCCTTCTCCTGTTTAAGTGTTACGAGCCAGATACAACACATTATAAAACATAACACACCTGTTCACAAACACATACATAACATTACTCTCAACAACATACAAAACACCTTGTAAATACCCTTTACAAATCGAATACAAAACCTTAGATTCATAACCGGTAAAACACAGTACAATCATCCAATATTCATAACAAGTTATCATCTAATATTCATACTCGAACACATCAAGACAACATACAAGAGTTTAGAAGAGAAAATACGTAAAATGTTGTAAATTGTTCCTACAACATCTACTGTACAAGAAAAACTGCAATACAAAAGGCAAACTACAAGTTCTCATGGTCATCTTGATCATCGTGGTCATGGAGATGTTGCTGCTGATGTCTACGCCTATGTCGTGGTCGTGGTCGTGTTCCTCACCCCTGTGCGAGGCCTGCAATGTCAGGACAGAACGATCACTCGGCCCAGGATCCGCTGTCACCTCCATGCCTACAAACAAACAAAATCGTATTAGTTAATTTTTACTATTATACTAATTTTTTTAATCATCCATTTTATTGATTAAAACCTTACCCACTGGACCCCCCATCGTGTGTTGACGTTCTCTTCACACATGTGGCCCTACTATGGCCGGTTTGGTGGCATTTTCCACATCTAACCGTGCCTCGGGGAGCTTCATTCATCTCATTCTTAATATGTGTCGACTTAGGTCTTCCCTTAGCCCGAAGCATGGATGGATCGTGCACAATTTCAGGTCCATTGTGAGTAGGCCAATAATCCCGATCAGGAATGGGTTTGAAGACTCTATGATATGTGGCCGCGTATTGGTCAGATGTGAAAAACTTATCCACAAATGGAGCATATGACAAGCTACGTTGTCTGCACACGGCTAACACATGGGAGCATGGAATCTTATATATCTCCATCTTTTTACAAGTGCAAGTTTTCCGTTTCAGATGGACAATTTGTTTTCTCCCACCCTTCCCCAACGTTCGGCCACCACAACCGGTTTCCACTTGAAATATCCCTCGGCCTAAATCAAATGGAGTAACTGTGTGATGCTTCGCCTTCTCTCTATTCTTATCAATTAAATTTGTGATGTATGAGAGTACTCGTGGCCTTCTATCACTCTCGTTTTACTGATTTCACGCCTATTAACAAAATAAGCATTAACCCGGTAAAAGGAAACCTGGACCAAAGCGGTGATGGGCAAATATCTGGCATTTTTCATCACGCTATTGAAACCTCTGCTAGATTATAAGTGATGGTACCGTATGTGTACCCGCCATCATGGTGCAATGACCACATTTCCAGGGGAATGTTCCCCAGAAATTGTCGTGCGTCCAATCTCATTTCACCTATCTTCTTGAACCCACCATCAAACTTCTTTTTCTGATGTTGCCGTGCGGTCCAGTCAAACAGATTTTTTAGATGAATGTCTTTGAAATGAGTGTGGACATTCTATGCAAGATGGCGGATACATAGCCTATGATGCGCATAAGGCTCCTCCCAAGTACTGCCCACCGCATTCATTGCCTTTACAATACCTCCATGCTGATCAGAAATGACACACAACTCCCTATTAGTGACAAACTGCCTAATACATGCCATAAACCATGGTCAACTATCCCCATTCTCAGATTCAACAATTGCAAAGGCCAATGGAAATATTTGGTTGTTCACATCACAACCCATGGTCACGAGCAATGTACCCTTGTACTTTCCATACAAGTGTGTGCCATCAATAGTAAGTACGGGTCGACAATGCTTAAAACCGTGTATTGATACCTTGAATGCCTAAAAAACTCTTTGAAACTGCATATAAGTTGTGGGAGTATTATGGGGTGGGTACCACTGCACAATAGTTCCAGGATTTGAATGTTGGAGCGCTGTCATGAAACGGGGCAATTCAGAATATGACTTCTCCCAACCGCCAAATATTTCGGCTATGGCCTTTTGCTTCCCCATCCTTGTTCTCTGGTATGATGCCGTATACCCATACTTTTCCTTCAACATTTCAATTATAGTATGCACTTTAAGGGAAGGATCAATGCGAACAATGTCAATCGTATCTTTAGAGATGAAATCTGAATTCAAAGCCACGTGATCGGTAGTGTCGCTATTCCCAACACACGTAGCAGAATGAGGTCCTGGATAACGCACAATTGTGAATGTGTCAAGGTTGCCTTTGTTCTTTGTGGCGTGTATTCTCCAGGGGAAATTACATTCTTTCTTCCTTTTGCATTGTGCCACCCATTTGTGTTTATCGGACTTTATCACCCGATAAAATTGGTTGCGTTTGCAAGAATACAAGCTCACCATATTGATGACTAGTTCTTTGTTGTCAAACTGTTGACCGACCTCAAACTCACCTTCGGGGGTAAACCTTTTCTCACCTGATCCACTCATCCACGCATCAGTAAAGTCTTCAGGGAGATCGTACATTCTAGTAAAGTGGCTAGACGGGGCAGTTGTCGTGACCGTATCACCATCATCTTCGTCAGATTCTGTAATGTCATCACCATTGATGTTGTCGTCAGCATCATCATCACTTCCCTGCCCATCCACAAATGATGCACCGTTATGCAAATACCTATCATCTTCATGTATAACCATGTCCAGTACAGGAGCATTTGAGGAGTTCCCGGGATTCACACCTGCATTGACATAATGCCTAGATACAATAGCATTTGATGTTGATGGAGTACCATAAGCATCACATATAGATTCCTCAATGTATATCTCCAGCGTCGACATGTCCTCCATCTGAACTATGCCCCACATATTTGTTATAGCTAGCTCATCAATGAGGGGCATAAGCATGTACTTTCCCCCGTCAATGGGAAATTTCATTTTTAAACGCAAAGAACGGCTAGGATGAATTATTGTGGCTGCATGTATTTTTTGAAGGATCTTGAGCATGCAAGCACCACGAGAAACCATGACAAATGTGGTTCTACCACCTTCATGACATATTTGCCCAACATTCTCATCGGCTCATCATAATAGTTCCCTCCCCAATGACACACGATTGGGAAGCTTGAGAAATCCATATTCTAATAACAATTCATTGTCCAACTATCATGAGTAGACATCAATATACACAATTTATACACATTCAAATTTTCAATAGAAAAAACTACAAAAATTCTAATATATCCAAAAGTCAAAGTTCACAAACAACTCACATTTCAATATGAAAATACCCAAATTTTGATATCTACATTCAAATCTACATTTCAATACCCAAATTTAGCTACATTCAAATCTACCGAAATGCCCAAATGTCAAAATACACTTTAAATTTTACAATCAATTTAAAATCAAATTTCATACATATCCACATTTCACAACAACTTAATTCACAATCAATTCATAATCTAAAAATTTGAAATTTTTAATATTCAAAACCCTAAGTTCAAAATGAGATGAAATGGAGTTTGATTTACCTACAAGAAAGAAGAAAGAGTGTTGAAGATGAAGATGGAGGTTTGCCGGAGTGGGGTCACCGGAGATGGAGGTTCGCCGGAGATGGAGGTTCGCTCGGTCGTCGTTCGTCCTTCGTCGCTGCGGCTTGGGGGATTTGGGGATTGGGTTTACGTCGTTCTGTTTTGTGGCTGACCGATGTTTTTACTTAAGGGAAAGTCGTCCAACAGTTGGACAACTTATAATCGCCAAACGGTTTGGTGACTTATAAGTCGCCCAACCGTTGGGCGACTTATCCCGACCATGGTTAACCCAGCAGTATATTGGTAAATGCTTTTAACCCAACCCTATTTTCGTAAATAATTAATTAATTATGGTCTGTTTCGTTAATCTGATAGATAAATTTTTTAAATAAGTTTTAACTTTTAAGCTATGGTCTGTTTCGTTAATCTGATACAAGTACATAAAAATGGTCCTCGCCCATTGACGAGATTAGCCTCCGATTTGTTATTATTTTACCTGAAAAAACCTACAAATAGCGAAACGCGGAAACCCTAATCTTGCTTTGGAGCTGCTGGATTCTTCGAGCAAAAATACAGAGAAAGCTGTGCCTGTGGTTTAGTAAGAGCAATGGCGGAACACTTAGCGTCGATATTCGGAACGGAAAAGGACAGAGTGAACTGCCCGTTTTACTTCAAGATAGGCGCTTGCCGCCATGGAGACCGTTGCTCCCGCCTTCACACGAAACCTAGCATCAGCCCCACCATTCTCCTTTCAAACATGTATCAACGCCCCGACATGATCACCCCCGGCGTTGACCCCCAAGGACAACCTCTCGATCCCCGCAAGATCCAGACCCACTTCGAGGTACACCCGTTAATTTGTATGCGAAAAGTCCTTAGTAAGAGCAGTACTTTCCAATTCTATGTCTAATCTGTATTGTTCCTCCGTTAGAATCTTTTAGCTGTTGGGTTATGGATTTCGTTTTCTGATTTCTGGACGAGTTTTTCTCGAAGTCAACCTTAATTGACGAGTCTTTTCAAAACTGAAATCGTACAGGACTTCTATGAAGATTTGTTTGAGGAGCTCAGCAAGTACGGTGAGATTGAGAATCTTAATATATGTGATAATTTAGCTGACCACATGGTATGTCTAGTTCTCTTATTAGATAGTTTTTTTCAGATTTCCAATTAAGTGTATATTTAATCCTCTAATGTAGATTCATTTTTCTGTCTAGGTCGGTAATGTGTATGTTCAATTCAGAGAGGAAGATCATGCTGCAAAAGCTCTTCAGAATCTGTCAGGAAGGTTTTATGCTGGTTAGTACTGTTTTTTTGAAGTTGTGTCTTGTGAAGTTGCGTTGTGTAAAATCACTTGTATTATTTTCTTTTTATCTCATTTCTCTGGACAATAAAAATGTAATGCAACTCTTGCTTACAACATCCTAAATTCAGAAGCATCTGTGTAAAATCAATGTTTTTTACTTGTCTTTAAAGGAATGTTTTGATGTTGTACCATAATTTATATTAACTGCAGCGTTTGGTCAGACAAATGGTGTCTTGGACTCTTGATGTTTGGCCACATACAACTTTCTACTTCTTTTTTATGTAATTCTTGTAATTTAACCGATTAGATTATAGGTGCTCTTTGTACAATGTCCCTTTCTTCATACTACAACGGTTTCTATATTTTTCACTATTTATTGTCCATGAAGTGATGATTTAGGGTTTAGCATTGAAGGACATTTATAGTTTGATTCAAGATACAATTTTTGGAATTTAAATGATTAAAAGTTTTTATACGATATATATTTCTTGTAACATAACAATATCTTTATTTTCGCTAACCATTGCTATAATTTCATTCACCATTTGCTTATGTAGGACGTCCAATTATTGTTGACTTCTCTCCGGTGACTGACTTTCGTGAAGCTACTTGTAGACAATATGAGGAAAATGTGTGCAACCGAGGGGGCTACTGCAACTTCATGCATCTTAAAAAGATAAACCGGTGTGTCTTTCTATTTCTTTTTTGTCTAAAGCATCTTATAGGCCTCTTTTTCTTTTGTATATGGTGATTGAATGGTTGTGCTTTCTTTTGAAGAGATCTGAGACGCCAGTTATTTGGAAAGAGCAGAAGAAGACGCAGCCATAGTAGAAGCCGTAGCCCTCATGGCCGTCGTGGTCATGAAGAACAACCACATGGTGGTCATGGATATCATAGGAGGGGTGATCATCGTCACCAAGAGAGGGGACGTAGACCTAGAAGCAGAAGTCCTGGAAGAAGAGGTGGACAAAGTAGAAGTCCTGCGGGTAGGAGAAACAGAAGTCCGGTTAGGGAAGGCAGTGCTGAGAGAAGGGCAAAGATCGAACAGTGGAATAGGGAAAGGGATCATAACGATTCTGGAAAGAGTGAGCACACTGGTGCAACCAGAGAAGGTAGCGCAGAGAGAAGAGCAAGGATTGAGAAATGGAATAGGGAAAAAGAACAGAGAGATTCTGCTGTAAACAGTGAATTCGGCACAAATGAAACTGACGGGAGAAATGGAGCTGAGGATTGTGAAGGAAAAACTTATGATGATTACCACCACCAGCAGCAGCTATGAGCTTGAGAATGGCTATTTCAATTAGTGGTACATTTTTTGAGTTTGTGCTAATGTATTCTCTTCATTTGATCATGATTCATGACCTTTGATGTCCTGAAAGGATTATACTTTTTCCAATTTTTATTTTGGCACAAAATAGTCCGTTTTGAAAAATGTAGCTCACTGCCCATTTTCCACTGTGCAGGTGGAGTACAGGTCCACTGATTTGTGATATTGAATAAAGCAAACCCCTTTATACTACAACTCATAGTAAAGAGCATTTACGTAATTTGATTGGAAGGGGGGTGAAGGGTGGGGTTTCATAGAAACTTAAGAAGCTTAGGTCATCAGTTTCCTCTCATTAACCTAAGTCCGTAAATGTTTTATTTTGGTGCATGCCTCATCATACATAATTCAATTGGATGTGAAAAAAATCAGATATTGTTTTTATATAATTGTACGGGTATAGGAAACAGATAATTTTATCCCTTCAGGAGTCAAAACCCTACTCCAACCTAAGGGTGGTTCAGGGATTAGATTTTGGAGGGCAGAGGGAGAAATTCCTAAACATATGGTTGGTAGTGTTCAATTAAGAAATTCGAGTTGTGGTGTTAAATAAACAACCATTGCATTTGAGTGACATATGTCCTTGTCTATCTTTTATTTTGATAAATCAACTCATGAAAAACATAAATGATTTTCTTAAAAAAATACACTCCTTTTCCCCTCCAAACTTAACCCCCAAGCATAGTCTTAACAACAGAAATCCCCATTTTATTTCTTCTTTTGAGCATATTTGTTCAATAATTGTTTTATCAAATATTCAATTACTCTTATCAGAAAGCAGTGGTCTCTTATGCATTTTCCTAGTTTTGCAGGTTCAAGGGTCCTGCTGACCAGTGGTCGTGCACCATCTTTAGCTGCTCACTATTATTTTCTATACAGGTTTGAAGTCTTTTCTGCAGAACAAGTTCAGGACGCAATTGGTGATGTTGGTGGGTTGTGACAAGTGAAGGGGCATGTTTATGTTTAATGAAATGCAGGTCTATAGTTTTGTTGAGGCATCACTAGCAGCTACTATACGGATATGTTTGACCCCCACTAGATGAGATGCTAGAAGCCCATTTGTGGAGTAAACTTTAAAAATTACAAAGATTGTTTTAGTTATGTTTTGTCTGAACCGACCACAACTTCCTTTTTAGTTCGTCTGGTTGAGTACAATAGTCTTCAAATGATTTCAGTTCTTCAAGTGACTCATCATGTCTTTTGATATTATTCACATGACGTCTACCATTTTTCTTGGTTTGTGCTGAAACATGCAAATCTGACGATTAAATGTTTTTAAAATTACCATTGTGCATACAGATCCTTGGTATTTTGTCGTTGCTCATTATATTGAAAAAAATCTGACGATGATACAGCATTACAGCTTATGGTAGATTTGAAAAAAATAAAAACTGTTCAAGTATATGATACCCCATTTTTTGGTCAGACACCTCTTCGGTGTCAGTACTTAGTATTGCTAGGTTAGAAAATTTCCTTAATATCTTTAAGATAAATTTATTTGTATGATTTTTTTGTAAACACTAATTTGCACCTATGGATGGACTCGGGCCGGGTGGCCCGACCCGGAACCGGCCTGGGACCGGTACTGTTCTGGCCCGACTTGACCTGGTGGCCCGGTCAGTGACCGGTCCGGGTATGCCTGGCCCGTCGGTTTTCCGGTCCGGGTAGGCCTGGCCCGTGGGTAGGCTCGACCCGGCTGGGCCCGGGCTCGGTTCGGGCCAAAAACAATTTTTTTTTAATTTTCGGGTTGGGCTGGGTATTTTGGGCCATTTGGGGTGGTTTGGGGGGTTGGGGGTGGGAGGGGGGTTAATTAGGAAGAGGAAAACAAAAAAAAATATAATGGGCCCGACCCGGACCCGGTGGTTACCCGGGCTGGTCCCGGGTCCACCATTTCTGACCCGCCGGCCTGCTCGGGCCTAGGCCTGACCCGGCCCCGGCCTGAACCCGAGTCCATCCATATTTGCACCTCTATTCTAAAAATCGTTCTAGGCGTCTGACTAGTCCCTGCCTAGGGTGAATGCAAAACGTCGTTTTGATGTTGCTGCAAAACGTGAATGCTAATTTACAATAGCGGTCTATTCTAGGGTTCTTCCTGGTGTGTTTTTCTGGCGGTGATCTATTGACTCATTCTGGCGTGTTTTTCCGGCAGTGATCTATTCATTCAGTTCGGCGTTTGAGTCAGTGCTAGGCAATGTCCCCGACTAGGCGTCCACCTAGCTGCTTAGGCGCTAGGGGCGCCCGACTAACGCCTAGCGCCTTTTAGAACATTGAATTTTGCACACGTTTGTGAGATGCTGCTTTGTTTGTTAATAGCCTCTTCACAGGGGCTTATTTGACTTTCCATGAAAAGTACAAGAGTTTATTTGCCACTCTTATTTATATTTTTAGATTTGCTCTAAAAAATTGGTGTGTAAAACATACAACTAAGTAAGCGAAAGTGTAAGAGAAAAACAATATTTACCACATGTTTCGTAAGTCGTAAAACTCCAGAATACATACCAATATGAACAAGATATTGGGTGTTTACATTTGAATATATACTTTTGTGGGTTGATTTAATTTAGATATATATATAAATTGAATATTAAACAAAATAAAAGTTAGAGTGATAGAGTATAGGGCTACACAAAAATAATTTGAACCCGCACAACCCGCCTGACCCAATCCTACCGAACCCGCACCTAATGGGTAGGGTTGTGGAGTTGAATTCTCAAACGTAATAGTAGTCGACCCGGCCGAATGTTCATTTTGCTATTATATGCTACAAGGTTTTCTCGGATAATTTCAGTTTAAGACCAATGTGCTCTATTTAGGACTTTATGATATTAGAGTTAGAATTAAACATTCACCATTTTGACTAGGTGATTATTATATATTTACGTTTGCCTCTAAATGAACTTTCCTTACGGAAGAATGTTTTAATACTTTTACCCAAATCTAAAATCTAAAGGAACAACGGGGAATTTGTGTGCCGAACTGGTGGCCATCTGGGTGGGCTTCCAGCACTGATGTTGCTGCAAAACGTGAATGCTAATTTACAATAGCGGTCTATTCTAGGGTTCTTCCTGGCGTGTTTTTCTGGCGGTGATCTATTGACTCATTCTGGCGTGTTTTTCCGACAGTGATCTATTCATTCAGTTCGGCGTTTGAGTCAGAGCAAAGCTATCCTTGTTGGCGATTGGCAAGGGTTTGGGGCATGATTTTTTTGGCGAAGCACAGTTGAGGCTTCTGGCGCGGCGAGAGTGTGGTGCGTTATTTGTGAGAAGAAGATGAGTATTTTGAGATAGAATTGTAGGGGCTTGGGTAATTTGGCTGCTTCGCAATTGTTGACTGATTTGGTGCGAGAGCAAAGGGCGACGATGTTGTTCTTGATGGAGACGAAGGTGAAGGTCGCTCGGGCTCAAGGGCTGGTGCGAGCGATGGGTTTCCGGCAGGCGGCATGTGTGGACAACGAAGGGTCGTGGGTGGCTTGTTGTTTGCCTGGCGTGATGATGTTGAGGTCGATGTTTTGGATGCGCAGGCCGCTTTTGTCGATTGCAAAATTAAGGCTAATATGGAGAACCGTACATGGTGTTTTACCGGCTACTATGGTTACCCTGAAACGAGTCGACGAAGAGAGGCGTGGGCGCTACTACGACAGTTAGCAAATAGACCGGACTTGCCTTGGTTGGTGGTGGGTGATTTCAATGATACCTTGTACGCATCTGAAAAACGGGGTCAGGTTCCACACTCGGAATGGAGGATATGATGCGAGGCTTTTGTGAGGTAGTTTAGGAGAGCGGGCCCATGAATTTTGCTTTTGATGGATACCAGTGGACATGAGACCGTAGATGGGGTACAAGGCATTAGGTTGAGGAAAAACTTGGCCGTGTTTTGGTCAATGATGAATGGTGGGACTTTTTCAACGCAGGGGCGGAAAAATCAGTGGAAACTCCGGTAAGTGATCAAATGGCTCTATTTGTTGAATTTAAACGAAATAGTGATGGCTGCAGGAGTAGACCCTTTAAATTTGAAAATAGTTGGCTTACCGAGGAGGAGTGTCGAGTTGTGGTTGGGAATAGTTGGAGAGCAGGGGTCAGTTTTCCCATTAGTGAGAGGTTAGATTATTGTGGGAGAGAACTCCAGAGTTGGAATCGGAGGAGGCAGGGGTTCCAGGTACAAATTAATTCTTGCAAAAAGAGATTTGACTGGTTACGAGATAAGAGTGATCAACATAGATGTATGGAGTTTTTGCATGTTCGAGCAACTCTTGTTGATTTATTGGAGAAAGAAAATATTTTTTTACGGCAATGCGCTAAAGAATTATGGCTAAAAGAGGGAGATTGTAATTCAAAGTTTTTTCATAATGCAGTCAAACAAAGGAGACTGATAAGTCCGTATTACAACACGCATTTCATGCATGTTGGGATCGGTTTTTTATGTTTTCCCTAACTTTTAGGTGTCACAAATCTCAATTTTAGCTCAAGTTATGTGTACCAGACGTCGGTTCGAGTTTTGTGTTATTTGGAGTCAAAATCAGGAATTTAGAGTCCGGCATCGGTGCTTAAAGAGGCAATCGGGAAGATTTTGGAAGCATTCGAGGAAGATTTGAGAGCTTTGGAGGTCACCGGGAGGTTCACGATGAAGATTTGAAGGAAAATGAGCTCTAGGATTGGCTACGTGATCAAAAGAAGATGAATGGAGCTTGAAATCAGTGATCAGGATCACCTTCTGTCAATCGTTCAAGCATATATCTTTGTAGAAACATTCCATGTACACGATTCAAAGTCAATATGAAAGATAACTTCAAGGGCTACAAATCATATGAAGACACCTTTGCTAGAATCTGAGAGAAAGAAGGTGAAAACAGACGATGAAGTCAGATGATCTCTGCTGCGATTTCAGAATGATACCTTCCACCGTTTTGATCATATCGCTTTATTGGATGATTCAAATCCAATTAGGCAAGTTGTGGTGGATAGAAGACTTCATTATGTACAACTTGCATGAAGGAAGTTTTGTCAAATTCGAACTAGAGAAGCCGGAAAACGTACTGGCAGACAGGCACACGTGTGTGTGGGGGACGCACGCGTGTGTCCAACGTTGTTTACGCGCAAGTCTGTCGGACGCACGGACGCCACGCACACGTGCGTGAGCGCCGTGCGTGCCCCCTGAAGTCCTAATTTCACCCGAATTGCTCCGTTTTTACTATTTAAACAGCCTGTAAACCCCTGTTTTGAGGGGGGAGCTTAGAGAGAGGCCTAGGGACAAAGTTTCTTCTACTTTTCCATCTCGTTCTTCAATTCCCTTGGATTATTTGTAAGTTCCATCTCTTTAATTAATGACAATTAATTCTATTCTTCCCAATTCTATTGATTCTTCAATTATGAGTTGTGAGTAGTTTTAATTAGGGATTTGGGATTGATGAAGGGGTTAATCATGATATATGGCTAGTTTCTTGATGGATTAATTGCATGAATGCTGTTTAATTTGTGTTTGAACAATTTAATTGCTATCTTTTGTAACCTGGAACCGCAGCTAGATTTACAATTGCTTGTATAATAAATTAAGAGAGATCTAATTTATTCTGAGACACATTCACACACACTTAATCGCTCGCTAAGAGATTAGTAGCGATTAACGGGCCGTAAGCTCGCTCGTTTTGGCAATAATTTAGGATCCTGTCGCATGAGAGATCAGTCTGGTCCTCTAAATTATTGTACTCTACGCCGCGAGAGCGGTAAGAACTTAGTATTGATTAGCTAGGCTCAATTAAATTAATTTCATGTAATTAAGCTTGATCTGCCAAAAATCTGATTACCCCGGAATCAATCCCTGTTCCCTACTGTCATTAATTAGAAGAACCCATTAGTTTAATTTCTTTTATTTTAATCGTTCATTCGAAGTAGTTAATTTTCCCAATCAATCAAATCTCGCACGACGCGATTATTGTATTTATTTTTAACCGCTGAATTTATTTAATTCTTAATTCCCTTTTGTCCGTCCCTGTGGAGACGATACTCGTACTTACACCACTATTCTACAATCTATTTTAATTCTGCACTTTTGTCTTTGTTTGTTTGCTTTAAAAAAAACCCCGAAAAAAAAGAAAAAAAATCCGGGGTGTTTTCTGTTTTTGTTTTTGTGTTTGTGTGTTTTGTTTTTGCAGCTCAGGGTCTTATTTTGGGGACGATGTGCCGAGGATCACTTGACTCAGTTTAGTTCTGCACCGACCGGCGCCTTAGGGAAGTTTCTGCAACTCTTATAATCGCCTATTTGTAATGTTGACTTGAGTTGAGATTGAGCACGCGTGACCCTTTTCTCTTTACCCCT